GTTTTTTTGTGTCATTCGTGGTCCTCAAGGTTAGTATGTGTGTTTACAAATAATGTGTGTGACAGTTTGAAGTGATGGATTTGAAGTACTACTATGTTTAGATATTGAACATGAAATCTTTATTTAATAAACATGTATAGCTTCATATGTTGATTGATTAATGATTTTATTCAGGAACTTAGTGGTCAACAACTTCACATTTGACAGTTCAAACATAGAGTGAGTTGAAGTTTCTCTTACCCTTGGTTAGACAGACAATACTATCACTACTAGCTATTACACTTCTTCAGTTTAATGGATTCTTCCACTACATTTTTCCATCTAGATAAATAATAATTGTTCTCTGTGTTTGCAGTCTTCCTGGATTGAATTGCCTCCAGAGGAATTTTCCATGCAATCGAAATACCCCTCGATGTAATCTTCTTTTGTTTCACTAGCCATTTATTAATGCATTATCATGTTACAGGAATAGGCATTGCTTCTCTAACTATGTATACATATTGCAAGGGTGTTTTGAGACATCTAGTAAGCATATCTGGTTATAAATATGTGATTCAAAAACGTCAGTATGAGTCTTGTCTTGAGTTTGAAGTTTTTATCACTAATCATAGCTTGTGCTACTATATTCAATTTTACAGATGCAAACTTCTCAATCAAGTGCGGAGGACCACAAATGAGAGGAATTGATGGCATATTGTATGAAGCTGATCAAGACTCAGCTCTTGGCCCAGCAAAATTTTATGTAACCAGTACACAGAAATGGGCTGTTAGCAATGTGGGTTTGTTTTCTGAAGGAAAGAATCCATCATTTGTGACCCCAGAGCTTTTCCAGACTTCAAGACGGTCCGCAGGTTCACTGAGATACTATGGCCTAGGTCTTCAGAATGGACCTTATACCATAACGTTGCAATTTGCAGAAACGGTTTATACTAGCCGTGCTACACAAACTTGGCAAAGTTTAGGAAGGCGTGTATTTGATATCTATATTCAAGTAAGGCTGCTAATGAACTATTTGAAGTAAGGGCAACCTCATTGGACAGAATTATTTAACTATCTCTTCATTTGCTTCCTAGGGGAACCTCAGAAGGAAGGACTTCGACATATCGAAGGAGGCAGGAGGGGTTAACATAGCAGTTGCGAGACCCTTCAAGGTTAATGTGACAGAGAATTACCTAGATATTCATCTGTTCTGGGCTGGTAAGGGAACATGTTGCATACCTGAACAAGGTGATTACGGCCCGCTAATATCAGCTGTCCATGCTGCTTCAGGTATATAATATAATGTTACGTTATGAAGATTTCCTATGAATGGTTTAAATGTATCTTTCTGCTGCTAATTGATTGACACTGAACAATTATCAATTATTCTATTTCATGGCTCAGATTTTACACCAACTGTTTCTGGGCTTCCACCAACTACTCCAGGAAAGAAGAGCAGGACTGGGTTGATAGTTGGTATTGCAGTCCCTGTTGGGGCTGTGAGCTTGCTATTATTATTTGCAGTTCTATATATGACGAGAAAAGAATCAGAAAAAAATGACGATGAAGGTAAAAGAGCATATTATTAGTGGTTAATTCTGCATGCGGTTTTAGGTTCTTTCTAGTGTTGATAAGCATGAAGCCTTTGAAAGAAATTACTTCTTATGTGTTGTGACATTAACACAAATTTTATAGTAGCATGTATTGTTTCGAAATATAAACGTATGCCATACTTTCTTTTGAATATGCAGATCTTCTAGGATTAGGATTCCGACCAAATACTTTCAGTTATGCTGAGTTGAGAGCTGCAACAGAAGATTTTAATCCTTCAAATAAGCTAGGAGTGGGAGGATATGGACCTGTTTATAAGGTGAAATCTATTTTACATCAATATCTGCTACCTTAAATAATGACTTTGACTTCTTACAAAAAGAAATTGAGAGAAGCAAAATAGATTCTTTCTACTTCCCTTTCATGACACTGAATTATATTTCTGTTTATAGGGTACACTTTCTGATGGCAGGGTAGTGGCTGTGAAGCAACTTTCAGTAGCATCTCACCAAGGGAAGAGTCAATTTGTGACCGAGATTGCTACGATATCTGCAGTCCAACATCGCAACCTAGTGAAATTGTATGGATGCTGCATTGAAGGAAGCCACCGTATTTTGGTTTATGAGTATCTTGAAAACAAGAGCCTTGATCAGGCACTTTTTGGTAGGTTTTATAGAAACAGAATACTCTGCAGTTTCAAGTACTCTAAACGTTCATCCAAGTTTTTTACGCAACCATTTGTTATAATTTTTCTCTGCTGAGGAGTGATGATTAAAGAAACCAAAAGAGTAATTATCTGAATTAGAATATTCTGAAGTTACATCCAAGTTTTTTCCTTGAGAATAAATCTTCTTTCACTGCCTTGGTTTTCTGCTGGAAAATAAAGAAAGAAGAAAACTACTGCTAGTTAGATTTTATTAGTTTTTGCTCTGTATAAGGGATTATTCAATTAAGTATCCTGAACAATTAAAATATGTTAAACCAGCCCAATTCTCATATCAAAACGTATTTTCGTTAATTTTCTTTTTCCTTTTTCTCTTATATGTGCATTGATTGTTTTCCCATGTAATGTTTCAGGAAGAAATGACTTGCACCTTGACTGGCCTACCCGCTTCAATATATTGTTGGGAACAGCAAGAGGACTTGCTTACCTTCATGAGGAGTCAAAGCCCAGGATTGTACATCGAGATGTCAAAGCCAGTAATATTTTGCTAGATGCAGAACTCTCCCCTAAAATATCAGATTTTGGATGGGCAAAGCTTTATGATGACAAGAAAACACACTTGAGCACCCGGGTTGCAGGCACAATGTAAGCCCTCGTTTATGTTATACATTGTTAATCATGACTAGGGAGGGTGTAATCCAAGCAACATTTTTAGTAAGCATTTGATAATCTTGTAGAGGCTATTTGGCGCCGGAGTATGCAATGAGCGGACGTCTAACAGAAAAGGCTGATGTTTTTGGTTTCGGGGTTGTTGCTTTGGAGATCCTCAGCGGGAGACCAAATTCTGACGACAACTTGGATCCTGAGAAGATTTATCTTCTTGAATGGGTAGGAAAACTTTGCTTAGCTACTTTTACTTTAGCATTGCTGTGAAAACTTCTTTATTTTTTTCCTTTTTGACCATGCCATGATGTTTGTTTTCAGGCATGGACTCTATATGAAAACGACCAGAGTCTGGGGCTGGTGGATCCGAGATTGACAGAGTTTGATGAAAATGATGCAACTAGATTGATAAAAGCAGCTCTCCTCTGCACTCAGGCTTCACCAATGATGAGGCCATCGATGTCACGTGCAGTGGCAATAGTTTCTGGAGATATTGAAGCAAGCACTGTTATGTCAAAGCCAAGTTATTTGGCAGATTGGGATTTCAAAGATGTAACCACAAGTAGCTTTTTGGTGGATGATGATACCTCATCAACTGAAAGCGATGTTCTCCTCAACCATCAGCTTGAAGGGAGCACAACTGGTGCTAGCCCCGGGATTGACCCTGCCTTGTCTCCGGTAAATGTGACTGGATCAATGCTCACTGGCATTATAGGAGAAGGAATGTGAGAAGTAAGAAGTTTCCATTGTCTTTCCTTTGCTGTAAATCTGGGACTCTCTGACTGCTAAAACTTTTCTACATTTTGTACTTGTCTTTGTGTCTTTCTGCCTTTAGTTTATGGGAATGATGATGTATATAGAAATAAGATACAATTCTATAGATGTCTGGTTGCCTTAATCGGCCACTGAATAATAGAAAAATATATTATTATTATCAAACAAATAGATGGGTTTATCCTGTAGTACGCGTCCTGTAAATGTTGGCTAGGTAAGTGTCCTGTCATAAGAGTAGTAGTTATGAACCTGGTAGACCATCCCCAATTGGTAGAAAAAAAACCCGCAACCCTTTTGGGAGTTATCTTGCACTTGGAAGAAGAAGTAGAAAAAGGAATAAATATAGTGATAATTAATAATTTCAGTGTTTGGATTTATGTATGTTGAATATAAAAAAACGAATTATTGCTCAATAGAAATAATCTCGACCCTCAATTTTCACAATTTTTTCCGCAAGTCATTTAATAATTTCTCTGCTTAAGTTGCCAAACAATGAAAATATCAATTTCTCCTCTTCAATTCCTGACTTTTAAATCCAAAACCTCCAGGGCAGATTGGCACCAGACCATACAATATACAAACATTTGCTCTTTTAGACAGAATCCGAAACCGCAAGACCAGATTGGAGAAGCTTGAGTTGTTTGTTGGGCAGTTGATTAAGGAAAGAGAGAGGAGAAAAACTTGCTTCTTGCCAACAGTGGTTTTAAAGCAAACTTGTTCAACTTCACCTAGCCGAACATCATCTACCCTATCAACCATGTCATCTTCATGTTAAGTTAATTAGTCTTAATTACTACATTAAGCATTCATACATCCCGACTGATGTATGAATTCCTTTATACTTTTAAATTCCATCATTTACTTTATTACTACTTAGCATATGTCCACATGGCGTTACAAAAATCACAAAAATCATAACATGTGGCATGTCACGGTGTTACTGTTATATCGAATAATTTCTTCATATATGGGTTTTTTTTTGTTTGTTGGTTTGAATTATGAGATTGGGCTGTATGTTTTGATTTGCTGGCCCAACCCAAGTTTGTTGGGCCTAATGTATTCCCTTAGATGTTGGGCTTCTTTTAGTGAACAAAAGCCGAAATCAAACTTACATCTTTGACTTATTTATTTTTTTAAATGAAAACTAAATTTGGACTGACTTGAATTGAACAGAGGAATATTTATTTGGGTTTGACCGTTCCAAATTTCACCCATTTTATTCCTTGAACTACACTAATCCCCCAAACTATATTTTGAGCCCATTTAGGGCATTTCCACTTCAGCCCCCAGCTCGGGCAACGAGGGCCCTAGGCTCAAGAATTAGTTTTCAATGGTACAAAACAGCCCAAGAAAGGCGTGGGCTTCACAAGCCCTGGTAGACTTGAAGGCAAGAACAACTTGAGCTAGCGCCTTAGGACGGCGACATCATTGATGACGTCAGCAATAATTTTTTTTTTTAAAAAAAAACCAAATATTTCAGATTTTTTTTTAAAATTTAATAAATAGCTTGCCATATTCTTCACTTCCCACACCAAAACTCTATACAAATTTCTTCTCATGTCTCATGTGAATAGTGGTTGCTCTTAGTTTGCCATGACAATGAGTGGAAAACCAACAAAAAACAATTGCTAAGGCAAGCACTATTCTTGTGAATATAGACCTAACAATATCATACACGACACGAATTCGCAAAAAAATTTAAAAATTTAAAAATTTTAATTTAATATGTTTTAACTTTTTTTTAATATTTGAAAAAATAAATCATTTTTTATTATTTTTTTTCATCCACGTGGAAGTCCACATCATCAAAAAATAGGTCTCATTTTTGACATGTCAGCATTTAACAGATTCACTAACAGTTTGGCAAACGGAATGGGCAAATTGTAGGTTTTTCGCGACGTTGAGTATGTATTGGTAAATGTCCCCAAAATCGGGTATGAACTCATAAATGACCCTATAGGTTGGGGGATTTACTGTAGTTTATCCTAAACAATATTATGCAACTCCGAGGAAGAAAAAAAGAATCATAAAAGGGCCAAGTTAAAAACTTTAACCTATGTTTTCATTTAGACACACACACACACTAAGG